GTCTTGATAGTGGGTGTGACTATATCGGGTTCTATTAGACACAATAAAAGACATATACCCCTTTTTCTGGTAGCCCCGCGCTCCCGCAGCGATGTCATTGACGAGCAATTGATTTATTATTAGGCTTCGCGATTGTATTCTGAGAACATCTCCTACTTAATAATAAGTCGAGGAAGTATGCTATATCAAAGAAAACAGAATTTCCGGAGGAGGAGGCCCAGAAATCAGGATTTTAAAAAGATTACCACGGTGATTCCAATGTGCAGCCAAGGTTGAGAACCTCTGCTTTAAGCCTTGGGAGAAAAGCCTATTTACTTCACAGGTAAATCCTGCTACTTCCTCAGCCAGCTGCATGGAGTCACTGGGAAGGGATCTTAGCTGCTTCAAAATCTCCCACAACAGATTCCTTTTTTAAAAAAAAATCCAGGATTAACTGAATTTGAAAAACAAATACAAGCTGTCGACTCGCTCTTCTAAACTTAACTGGACAGTCTACCTGTCCCATAACAGGGTTCTGATGTTTGAAGCTCATTTTGTGCTACAATCTCCAGCTTAGGCAGCTGGGCGCCTGCAGACCCTGGGCAATGACGTTCGGCCACAGGCCAGGTGGCAAAGCAATCAACACAACGTAGTCCTGTATCTTCTCCCAAGTTCCTCGAATGCTCTAGCTGGGCCTGACACCCCCCCCTCCTACCCCCACCCCCACTTCACTCAACAAATGTTTACGGAGAACGTACTGCAGGACAGACCCTGTGCAGACACAAATGTGAACCAGACGTGGTGGGAAACCCTAGTGCTCTCCCCTAAGTATCTCGTTTCTCAAACGACTCTCCAGATAGCGCAAGTCTGAAAATAAAGCCGGTAACTGTTTACGAAGGGCTTCCTGCGCCCCGGACTCCCGGCCACGGACGGGCCCCCTGACTCCCTGGGGGGCGGTGCGGACACTCACCGGCGAGCGGGCCGCCGCTCAGCACCGAGGCGGGCTGCAGGGTGTGCACGGTCTTAGCCACGCTGGTCATGGTCGCGGGGCGGCAAGGCTTGGCCCTGGGAGGTGGAAGGTGAATGTTACCCCGTGGTGGGCCAGGGGGCCCCCGGGCCCCGAGCAGGTGGAGGCCCCGGGAGAGCCGACCCAGCCTTTCCGGCTCCGGGGAGGCGCAGGGAGAAACTCGTCCGCGTCCACGCCAACCCGTCCGCCCTCAGCAGCCCGACCCCTGCCCCGGGAGGGCCGAACCCAGGCGCCTGCTGCTCCCGCCCGTAGCCCTCGTCGCTCCGACTCAGAAGGTCCTCCGCGGAAACGGCCGCGCTGCCGGCCGCGTCTGCCGCCGGGGTTTCAAATGGAAACTTCCGGTGGGCGGGGCCGGGGCGGGGCTGCGGCGCGCGCTCTGTGGGCGGCCGTGCGGTGCCGCCGGCCGGGCCCTGGGCGGCGCCTCTGGGGGCTGCCATGCTGTACTGAAGGTCGGAGCCTCACCGGTTCCCGCGGCGGGTGGTGGTGGAGTCCCTGGGTCTGGGCCGGGGCGGGGAGTGGTGCTCTTTGTGGACCTGAATGGAGCTGTGACCCGCCGGCGTCACTTTCCAGCTCGGGACGCAGACGCAGCCAAGTTTAGAGTCCATGTCACAATCCTTCTCTTTGTTTGGTCCGCGATGGTCAGGGACATTGCACGCCGCCTGAGTGCCTGGCGCAAAGGGTATTTCAATGGGCGTAAAACTACCGTTACAGGGTGGGGAGTGGCAGATGGGGTTGGAAGCGGGCCTGTGGGCTGAAATCCCTGAGGCGCCTACAGGCAATTCTAACTGGATCATTTCACGCTACACATTGGAGCACCTGCTGTGTGCCGGGCACTACACTAAGTGTGTGCGTGTGTGTGTGGGGGGGGGGGGGGGGGCAGAAAGAGGAGAGAGACAAGTATTGAGACCTTGGTTCTGCGCTCCTGGAGCTTACAATCTAGCGAACAAATAATCATATGAACTTGTCAATTATATCTCAATAAAGCTGGATATATGTCAAATAGATATATATTTGCCAACTGTAGTAAAACTATGAAGGAAGAGTACAATGTTCCGCGAGAGAGAAAAGCAGGGAAAGCAAGTTTAAATTTAAGGGACCACCTCCCAGTGATGTCAGGATAAGTGGGACTTAATCAGATTACCGGTGGGGGAGGGGCAGAGATGCAAAGTCCTGAGGCTGGAATGGGCTTTTCTCCTAGAAGGGACTGAAAAATTCAAGGAGAGTGGTACAGATAGAGTTGGAAGAATGGCAGCCTTTGTAAGCCAAAGGTAAAGAGATTAGATTTTATCTAAAGAGTAATGGGAAGTTATCGAAGTACTAGAGGGCCGGTGCACAAAATTCCTGCACGGGTAGGGTCCCTAGGCCTGGCCAGCGATCACACATCATTAGCAACTGGTCGTTCTGCCCTTTGGTCGATTTGCATATTAGGCTTTTATTATATAGGATAGGAGTAGAGCAGGAGAGTATTCTTCACATATTTTATTTATTTTTAAAATATGCTTTTATTGATTTTTAGATAGGAAAAGAGAGGGAGATAGAAACATAAATCGATCGATCGATCAATAGATTGCCTCCTGCATGCCCCCTACTGCGGATCCAGCTCCCAACTGGGGCATGTACTCTGACCAGGAATCAAACTGGAGACCTCTTGATACAAGGGACAACGCTCAATCCACTGAGCCACACCAGCTGGGTTCAAGTATATTTTAAAAAGCTCCATTCTGGCAAAACCGGTTTGGCTCAGCGGATAGAGCGTTTGCTGCGGACTGAAAGGTCCCAGGTTCGATTCCGGTCAAGGGCATGTACCTGGGTTGCGGGCACATCCCCAGTAGGAGATGTGCAGGAGGCAGCTGATTGATGTTTCTCTCTCATTGATGTTTCCAACTCTCTATCTCTCTCTCTTACTCTCTGTAAAAAATCAATAAAATATATTTAAAAAAAAAGAAAAAAAAAAGCTCATTCTGGCGAGGCCAGTGTGGCTCAATGATTGCGCATCAACCTGTGAACCAGGAGAAATCACAGTTTGATTTCCAGTCAGGGCACATGCCTGGGTTTTTGGCTCAATCCCCAGTAAAGGGTGTGCAGCCAATCAATGATTCTCTCTCATGATTGATGTTTCTATCTCTCTCTCCCTCTCCCTTCCTCTCTGAAATCAATTTAAAAAAAAAACCATATATACATATTTTTAAAGCTCATTCTGGCTACCCCAGAGAATGGGTTGGAAGGGGGCAAGAGTGGAACTAGGAAGACATTTGGGAGGCTACTGTAATCATTCAAGTGGGAGAAGATGGTGGGTTGGCCATGAGGGTGGTGGTATTCGTGGAAACGAAGAGACAATCAGATACATTTAAGACAACTGGAGATCGGATCTCAGAACTCAGTGCTAGATTGGAAGTGGGGCAGGGAGTGGAGGAGAAGGGAGAGGGAAATCTTAAGGATGACGCCCTGGCTTGAATTATTAGGTGATTACAATCACTACTTTGTGTTGTGGGGAAATTGAGCATTTAGTTTTGAACATGGTAAGCTTGAAATGCCTCTGAGACATTCAAGTGTTTAAACTATTAGGTAGCCAATGGGAAATATAGGCTTTGAGCCCAGAAGAGGGTCTAGGTTGGAGATACCCTTTGGGAGTTATGGGCATATGGATGCATTTAAATCCACAATATCGGAGGAGATCACCAAGGGAAGAAGTGCACAGAGAGCCTTAGGGACGGCAGCATTTAGAAGTTGTAATACGGAGGTGCCAGCCAGGAAACATGATAAAGAGGTGCCAGAGAGGTGAGAAGGGAAAAAAAGGGGGGAGTGGTGTCCTAGAAGCTAAGAAGGAAAACTGCTGAAGGAGTGAAGGAGGGAATGGTAAACTATTGAAAATCAACACGAAAGGGTAAGTGAGATGAGAAAGAAAAAGGATCCATTTAATTTAGCAACAAAGAAGTCACTGGTGAGTATAGGGAGAGAAAGTCTGGTGCAGAGGTTGAGTGGCAGCCATGTGGGAGCAGGTTGAAGAGTGCATGAGAGGAGGAGGCGGAGATGGCAGGTGTAGACTGAGAGCTTGTGAATGGAGGAGCAGTTAAACAGTAACTGGAGGTGGGTTGGGTGCTTGAAGGTGCAGATACTACTTGATACATGTGCCAGCTGAGAGGAAGAAAAGGATGCTTCAGAGAGGAGAGGGGATGATCAAAGGAGTAAAGTCATAGAGAAAGAGGGATGGAAGATGGATCTACAGCAGCATCTTCAAGTTCTTTTGGTCATATACCCCACAAAATAATAAGACAAAAAAACAGTGTTTCAGTTGATGCCTAATAAATGTTTTCATAATTTTAAATATTTATAAAGGACATATACTTTCAAGTTATTACATATTATGCATCATATTTATTCATTTCTAAAATTATTTTTTCTTTTGATATTTCATTTTGGGTAATTTTCTATGTCTTCAAGTTTACTAATCTTTTTCTGCAGTGTCTAAACCAGTGATGGCGAACCTTTTGAGCTCGCTGTGTCAACATTTTGAAAAACCCTAACTTAACTCTGGTGCCGTGTCACATGTAGAAATTTTTTGATATTTGCAACCATAGTAAAACAAAGACTTATATTTTTGATATTTATTTTATATATTTAAATGCCATTTAACAAAGAAAAATCAACCAAAAAAATGAGTTCGCGTGTCACCTCTGACACCCGTGTCATAGGTTTGCCATCACTGGTCTAAACTGTTTTTAATTCCATCCAGTAATTTTTCATCTCTACAAGTTCAATTTGCATATTTTAAAAATACCTTCCAAGTTTCCACTTAGCTATGTGAATACATGGGATACAGTTACAATAACTTTTTTATGTCCTTGTCAGGTAATTCTCATATAAGTATCAGTTCTGGATTGGTATCAATTGATTTTCCCCTCACTATGGGTCATATTTTTCTGCTTCTTTGCATGATTGGTAATTTTTTATTTGACCCCAGACATTGTGAATTTTATGTTTTTGGGTGCTGGTTATTTTTGTATTCCTGTAATATTCTGAAGGTTTGTTCTGGGATAACATTACATTACTTAGAAACAGTTTGATCCCTTCAGGTCTTGCTTTTGAGATTTATTAGGTGAGAGCAATCAGTGTTTAAACTAGGTCTAACGAGTCCCCAAAACTGAGCCAAGAACTTTTTGAAAATTCTAACCAATGCTCCATAAATTATGAGGTTTTTCAGTCTGGCTAATGGGAAAAGACTATGTTCCAGCCCCGTGTAACTAGTGACTGCTGTTCCTTCTAATCATTTTGGGTGGTTCTTTCCTTGGTCTCAAGTAGTTTCCTCACATTTATCTGTTGAGCAGTGCTCTGCAGAACACTCAGGGAGGCCCTTTGCAGATCTCCAGAGCTCTCTCTGCACCTTTCTCCTATCCAGTATTGTGTCCTGAGCTCTCTAGCTACCTTGGTTGCCCCAAACCCTGAGCTATCTCCTTAGCTCAGGAAGTCTGCATGGCCCTGCCTGGGGTCTCCCTTCCTGCAATATACCTGCAAACTCTCTCAAGCAGTAAGCTGAGCAATTAGGGGGCCCACTTCATTTGTTTCTTGTCTATCAGGGATCACTGTCCTTTCTTGTCTGATATCTAGTGTCATGAAAAATGTTGTTTCATTTTTTTTCCTGTTTGGTTGTTGTTTCAGGAAGGAGGGTAAATCTGATCCCTGCTACTCCATCTTGGCTAGAAGGGAACGTTGTATATGTACTTTAAATATATTTTTGTTCAAATCATGAAGCTTCAGATTTAAATGATTCTAATTTTGGAAAATGTCCACCATATATCCTATTTGCAAAGCCAGTCCTCTGTGTCAAACTCATCTGCCAAATCAGATTGACTTTCTATTACAAAATGTCCGATTTTCAATTTTTTTATTTAATTTTTTTTGTTCTTAATTTTGTTTTTCAATTCAAATAATTCAAATTAAATGGAGAAGGCACAGAACTGAAACTTCTCCTGGAGGCTCTCTAGGCTTTGCTCCTTCAAGGACTCCCTCAAGCAGAGTATTCTCAAGTTGTCCTCTGAGAGAGTTGCCAGAGTAGGATTCAACATGAAGGAGGGGCCAACTGGGAAAATGGAGATAGAGAAGAACTGGCTGACCCACGCCTCCTTCTCAGGCTGATCAATATAAAGAGAGGGAACAGAGAAAGGAGGACGCTCTGGAAATTGATTTCCTTAAACTGTCTGTGTCCACCTACCTTTTGGAAAGTCTTCATGTCCCCGTGGGAGTGCAAGCCCTTGTTTGAAGACCTCTTGTGCCGTGTGAAGCCATTGATGGAACCATTACTGCTTCTTTTGTGCTGATAGAAGGGAGGGGGACAGAAGCAGGCAGGAGCAGGGCTAGGTGAGCTGGGGACTTGATGCCTCGAGGTGAGTCAATTTCCAGCTTTCTTTATGAAGAATGAGTTGTCTACTGACAGTGGGGT